TATCACATTTTCTTTATCCATTCTTCTGCAGAGGAACATCAAGTTGTTTCCAAGTTCTGGCCATTGTGAATAGAGCAGCAATGAACATGGTTGAGCAAATGTCTCTGAGGTAGAATGAAGAGTCATTTGGGAATATACCTAAGGGTGGTCTTGGTATAAGATTCTCATCTTCCAGAGGAGTATTGGAACATGGTTGAATAAATGTCTCTGTGATAGAATGAAGTAAAGAAGAATATTCCCAAGAACTCAATTTTGAAATATACTGATTCCTAACTTCCTGATAAACAGTCATACTGATTGATTTCCATAGTGGTAGAAGAAGTTTGCATTCCCACCAGCAATGGATGAGTGTTCCTCCTTATTCCACAACCTTGTCTGTATAAGCTGTCACTTGTTTTCTGGATCTTAGCCATTCTGGCAGGTGTAAGATGGAATCTCAAATTAGTTTTGATTGCATTTCCCTGATGGCTAAGGATGTTGGACATTTCTGTAAGTATTTTTTAGCCATTTGAGTTTATTCTTGAAAATGCTGTTTAGCTGAATACCCCATTTTTAAATCGTATCCCTCAACTCTTGTGATATTCTCCCCCATTCTGTTTAGGACTGAATTTTAATTCTATCACACGAAAAAATAAGTTTGGAATTTAGGCCATAGTTTAAAATAAGCCTTGGGTGCTTGGTAATAGTAGAACCAGAAAGCCCGAAGCCCAAAGTTCTGCAAAGATTAACTCAAATAGGTAGTGCAGATTTTTTATGGTCATTGAGCAGTATTCAGTAAATGGTTGGCATTACTGTTGACTTGTCTTCATGTTTTTCTATGTCATTTATTGGTAATAGCAGGCACCTCTGTGTAATTTAGGCTACTCTCAAACCCACACCAAAGGTTTTTTTGACAATCACTTCAAAAGTGATTCATTGTTTACAATCTTGTGTGTGTGTTAAAGATTTTATTTTTGTTTATTTTGTGTGTATGGATGTTTTGCCTTCATATATGTCTTTGTACTACATGAATCTTGTTGCCCATGGAGGCTGAGAGAAGACATCAGGTTTTCTGAGACTGAAGTTGCAGAGAGTTGTGAGCTGTTACATATGTGCTGGGAATCAGAGGAGCACCCCATGCTCTTAACAGCTGAACCACCTCTCCAGCCCAAAATGTTTTCCTTCCTAACCTCCCTCCTTCCCTTCCTCCCTCCCTCTCCTCTCCCTCCGTCCCTCCTTCCTTCCTTCTTTCCTTTCTTCCTTCTGTCCTCAAATACAAACTCATTATGTTGCTAAGAATGAACTTGAATTCTTTTGTTTTTGCTTTTTGACACAGGGTTTCACTATGTGTCCCTGCCTGACTTTGAATTTGCTACATAGACTAGAATGGTCTCAAACTCATAGAGATCCATTTTCCTCTGCCTCCCGAATGCTGAGATTAAAGTGCCACCAGGACTAGTTCATTTCTTGTGTTCTCATTGTGACCTCATTTAAGATGATTACATTAGGAAAAGTTGGCTGAGTTCTCAAGGCCTCAATTTCAGTGTCCCCTGCCCTGACTTTGTCTTGCCTTTCACCAGGACTCACTTTCCTAGAAGGGCCCTTTCTTAATTACTCAGAAACCTGCAGTGATGTTTTCTGAATGTTATTGGTTATAAGAACAAATTCTACCTGTTCAAAAGCAGAGATGTTTAGTGAATTCCCCACTCATGTGAAAGGAGTCTCTCTTTTCTCCTACCCACAGATACAATGAACTGAATTTATTGCCTGTCATTTGAGAGTTATAGTCCCTCTGTGAGCCTTGGGGAACCATTTTATTATGTGATCGACTTATTTCTCTTTGTCTTCTCTGTATTCCAAAGCTCCAAACCTAGGTCATTGCTCACTGAACCTAGATTTTTTCTTCTGAAATCTAACTCACTTCTGGTCCATCATATTGTGGGTCATGGGATTCCAGACCACAATCAAATGTCCCCAGGTTGTGAAGAAGAGAAAATAGTTAACAAAACCTACCTGGAACCCATTTTATTTCCAGATGGGTATAAAAACTTTCTTGCAGAGACTTATTTTAATAAAACAAAAACAAGGAAAGTAATGTACCCGGAGAGAAACCAGACATACCATCCTGGCTTCACTCCTGACTGACTGATCTTGGGCGAGCCAACCTATCAGTAAAATAAAGGCAGAGCACATCTCCCTGAGAGTTGTCAGAGTCCAAGAAATTAAAATAATTGCTGAAAATAAGAGGTGTTTAAATAAGTGACAGTGGTGTTAACTCTATTGTTTTAAAGATGGTCTTCCTAGGATGTTGCTTTTAAACGAGCAGGAAGACAATGTCTAACAAGGTGAATGGCATCAACTTTGTTAAGAAGAAATGTGACCTTTCCTCAACTTCCCTCTTGTGTGCTTGCTTCAACTTTATGCCAGCACCAACTCCAGCCCCCTGCCACAGCCAGGTAACCTGGACACTTTTCTGCCATCTTTTCCAGCAGTGTTTTGCTGATTTCAAGACTAAATATAGGATACAACACATCTCCTGTCACAGTGCGTTATACACGGTTTTCCACAATGAACAATTCATACTTCAGGTGAGCTGATTCAAAGTTGGTAACTTCAGGCTTTGAAGCTTCTTGATGGGAAGAAACCACTTGGAGTGTTCAAAGGCATCATAGTTGCTTCAAGCAGCATACTGCCCGGGAGCACTAAGCATGGATCCCACATCACCTGAAGCCACACCCTCAGCAGCTCTAGCCAATCCCCATTCTCCCTTCTCTCAGTTCTGCACAGTCTCAGTATATGCAGGTGCTGTTGGAATTTGTGTCGTCACCTGCTGTTGAATGTGCATGGTTTGCTTTTGTTAAACTGTCTTCATTCATAGGTCTTCAAGTAGCTATAATTCCAGTGAAGACAGGATGATTCTTTACCCTGGAGGACCTGCTGTAATGCTGGGGACCTAGACCCCATTCATTCTGAATAGATGGAGCGCCTACTGTTTATATATGTCCTGTGCTAAATACTGAAGGTATGATAAAAATAGCATCTACAAGTTTATATATTAGTAGACACAAGTTAAATCACTGCTAAGTTTACAGCTGAAGATGAAGACATTAGTGAGGTACTAGTGAGCTTATGACATTGTCACCTTTGAAGATCTAGAAAAACATAATATTCAACCAACATTAAGGTGTTCTGAAACCTTACTTTGGTATATCCCAAGTCTATAACTTGATGACTTTTGGATCTCTGATATTCTGTTACCATATTTGTAAAGGCTTTTTTCAACTTCATCATATTTCACCACTCACAAAACATATCAAGAAACCAATGGCATTATATCACTGCACCCTAAGTGCTTTTCTCATCTCCCCAATGACACAGTGAATCAGAAAATAATTAAAAATAACTTAGATTGCAACCTCCCTTTTTCTCCTTCCAACCCCAATCACCCTGCCAGGAGCACTGTGATATGTGGCCCTCCCTCTGTCCTATTTCTCGAGAAAATGCAGAGCTAGCTGCACAAGTGGGAACTTAGCAAGGATGAGCAGAATACCTGCACTAGCCTCACCTGTACTTCCATGGACACATAGTGGCTGTGACTGAGAAACTCAGCTCTGAGTGGCTGCTTATTTTTTCCTAACAGCAGTAAAATATATGGAAGCTACAAGTGACATTTGTTCAGTAGATTTGCGGGCTGGGTAGATATCCATCTGCCTTTTGATGCTCATAGCAAGCCCCCAGCATAGATGCTCTTATCCTGACCCACATAGTGGACAATGGCTCAGCTAAAGTTGGGGGCTTTGCTAAGGTCAAATTTCAGGTGAAAGTAGACAAAATTGCATCAAAATGTCCTACCTCCTCCCTTTCCCACTGAGAATGACTAAAGAAATAGAGACAAAGGTAATTCAAGGAAGGCAGTTTATTCTTTAATTCAATTTCAGTAATTATGTTTTCATTTTTATATAATTAGAAGGGATTTGCTATGTTATCTAATCCTTGTTCTGCATAAACCAAGTGACAGTGTCAATTAAAATAGCTTCATCTGAGCTTGGGATGAAGCTCAGTGAAAGAAAAACACATCTAACATATGCAAGACCCTGTATGCACATGGAAGAGAAAGAAAAAAAATAAAATACTAGTGAAGCATTTGTAGACAACTTGCTTCTACATTATCCAATAAGTAACATTATTAGAACTCAGCTCTCTCTCTCTCTTGTGTGTGTGTGTGTGTGTGTGTGTGAGTGTGTGTGTGTGTGTGGTGTAGGGAAGAGTGGGGAAATGTTACAAGAAGCTCTCCTTGCCTCAGGAGTTCGAGTTCACAGGCTTTTATCTTAAGTTGCGAAAAAGTCAGAACTAAGCTCGAAAGAGTTGATATTCCAGCATGCTTCATGCCTTTTTAACTGAGGCACTTGGAAGTCAAGGTCTCAGGTGAGCAGAAGAGGCCCCAGCCCCTGTCCATGTCCCTTGTCTTGGATATCTCCCTCCCTTCTCTCGGATGGGAGTAACGTACCAAAACGAAGTCATTTCTGGCGAAGGACTAGGGTTTCGATTAGTTTCAAAGCAGAAGGATGTCAGCAAGAGGTCAGGGCGCCAGGTCACTTGGGGTTACGGCAATGCAGAAACTTTTGCAAAGATTAGCTCTGAATTCAGATTAGTGCAGGGAGCCCTCTGCTGGGTCCTCAGCTTGGCCAGAGGGCAAGCTGACAGGGTGGGAGTTGGGGGTGGGGGCCGACACATGGGACAGGACACACGACTCAGGGTGAACGGGGAGCAGAATGCTGAGTTGATCAAATAAGCAAAGTCTAACTCAGCCATGGGACATTTTCTGGGTAATGAGCTGATGGACTATAGCTGTCAGACACCTTCCAAAACGACGGAGGGGTGGAAAGAGTAAAGGTCTATTCCACTTCTGAGCATCTTATCCTCTCTTCCTGCAGTAGGCCAGGCCAGGTTTGCACTGCCCAGAGCAATGAGTCTCACCTGTTGTCTGTCCAAGGCTTCACAATGAGGCAGGACCTAGCCAGAGGATCTGAACGTGGCTCTGGGGCTCCAGCTAGGGATCAGGTTCATAAGAAGGAAGGGAGGCGGCGGTCAGGCAGCGTGTTGCTAGCTGCTTTCCCGGAATCCTAGAAGGGAGCTGGACCTGTGAGTTAAGCAGCCTCTTCGCCTTTCCTGTATGGGTTACTCGTGGGTCCGGGTGCCACCGAAAGCTGCAGAGACCACTTTGAGACACCCACGCTTTATTGCGGTGGTCGTGGAGACCCTGTGCCCTGCCAGCCTCACACCAGGCTTCCCCGGGGAGCAAGCCAGGTTTAAAGTTCTCTTTAGCGAAGGGAAGGGAGTGCTCTTCCTTCAGCCTCCTCTGACTTTTCAGGAAGCACTCACAGTTTGGGAGTTGGGAGTTAGGAGTTACAGAGACAGACTTCCTCAACTCCCCTCCCCCTTTCTCCTTCACTGCCGCTCGCCTCCCAACTCCCATCCAAGCACACCTTTCTCTAAGCTAATAGGGGTAATAGGTGCGAGAGGGGACTAAGTTGGCTGTCTGTAGCGGAGCCAAAATAGCAGCTTAGGAAAGGGCTTTTTTTTTCTTTCCACGAGATTATTATTTTTTAGTTCAGATTAAAAACAAGGCAGCTTCACATGTCAATCCCCTCTCCCTCTCCCTCCCTTCCCCCTAACCTCCTACTAGCCCCCCTCACCTCATCCCCCTTCTGCTCCTCAGGGAGGGTAAGGCCCTCCACGGGGCTCCCCCAAACTCTGTCATATCATCCTGGGCAGGGCCTGGGCCCTCCCCCATGTGTCCAGGCTGAACTGAACTTTCGAACCCAGTTGCAGAGACAGAGGAGTGAAGAGCAAAGAGGTCCGGACGAGGCTGGTGAAGCCCACGGAGACAGCTGACCTGAACAAGCGAGAGCGCATGGACCCCAGACTGCTGTCTGGGAGGCCAGCACGGGACAGATCCAGACCCCTGAAAGTGGATGTCAATGAGGAGGCCTTGGCGCTCTACGGGGCCCCTGGTAGTGAATCAGTATTTACCCCTGGTGTAAGAAGGGACTTTGGGAGTCCATCCCACACAGGAAAGGGCTTTTGTGAAGTGTTTTTCAAGTTGCTGGTGTGAGGGCGCTGAGGAGCTCTGCTTGTTGGAGAAAAGGATGCCCAGTCTGGAGCGCCCAGCTATGTGTGTCGGTCTGGCCTCCGCATCCGGGGACTCAAGGTCTTGAGGCTCGGGTCCGGTCCAGAACCAGGTTTCTGAGAAAGTTGGAGTGTCACCTTAGCCACCTGCTTCTTTAGGGCTGCGAGACCTCGCCACCCATTCCCTGTCCTCTCCCTCCCCTCTCCTCTCCCATCCCTTTCCACCTCCCTTCTCCCTCCCTGACGACAGGGCTACCTGTGAGACGTAGAAGTATTGGGCGATCCTGGGGCTATCACTTATGGATTGAGGACCCCCAAGGATCCTGAGACAGGAGGAGGATCAGAGGGGCATGACTCTTGAAACTAGGGCGTGGTTTACTTCCCCCAGGACAGCCTGCTAAGAGGGAGAACTCCCAGCAAGGGCTTCTCTGGGACGGTTCTGGGCCTTGAGCGCATAAATCCGGCCAGGGGATCCAGAACTGGATGTGAAAGACCCTTTTGGAGATGACTACCACGCTTGGCCGTGCTCTTTTCGGGTTGCAAGATGTCTAACTCCTGAGGTTGTCCCAAGTGGCAGGATTGTCCTGGCTACTGCAACCTCCCTCTTTCTTGGAGATTAAGGTGTTCTTTGAGAAGTAGAGTCCAGGTTTCTGGGCTGGGCCCTTTCTAGTCTTGGACGGGCCTTTATTGGTGGCGATGCTGGGGGAACCTTGGCAGTCACACAGTCCTGTAGGTTCCTGATGCCCAGCTCTGCAGAACCACGTTCACCCATGGGACCTCTGGTCTCTAAGATCACCCCTCTCCCGCAACCACTTGTCTGAAATTTACCAGATTCCAACCTTAAGTCAACAACAAAAAAAAGTGTTTCATATACAAACCGATCACTCGAGGTGATGAAAAAGTGCAGAGATTGCTAAGACCAGAGCTGGACCTGGACGAGGACAGGGGTAGGGGGCACTCATCTACACTTCAATCGACCAAGATTTGCTTCTTAGAGCTAGCACCCAGGAGCTCATTCCTATCTCCATTCACAGAGTCCTCTCCCTGCTGGCTCAGCTAACAGGTAGGTGCCCAGGGTGAAGACTGCACCAGACAAGACTCACCCCTTGGCTCTCAGCCCCTCAGCATGAGGTACACAGGTGCCAGGGGCCCTGCCACCGGGCTCTCCCACCGCTAACCCTGCTGTTGCTGCTCCCTGTTCTAAGACATGACATAGGAAGGAGAGTCTCTGGCCACTCTGGTAGCAACAACTTTCTAGTGACAGGGTTGTTTTTAAAGAGAAATAAAGTGAAGCAGGGGTGGGGGAAGTAAAAACTCCAGGCTTTTTTTTTTTTTCCCAGTATCTATCATGATTGGAAGAGGCTTGGGGTACCCCTGCAGGGGGTGTGTATTTAGCTTCTCAAATTGGGCCCTGCTGGGGTCTCAGCACCTGCAAAGAGGGCTATCCCCTACTGCTTTTGTGAAGCTCTCCTATGATGTTTCAGGTTCCCTTGTATCTGCTGGAGAGGGGATAGGGTTAGGGTCAGAAGTGCTCTTGCTAGATTTAAGAAGTACTGGCCCCTCTGGCTGTTGATACTATTAGGCCAGTAGCAGAGCTGCGGCTTTTTGAGGGAGGGGTCTGGAATCTCAAGGGCTAGGTTGTTGGTCAGGAGGCTGGAGGTAAGGGAGAGAGGAACAGTAGAGGATGAACACTTAACTCTTTACAGCAATAACCTATGCCACAGCCAGACTCTGGAGTCCCCTTCTCACCCAACATGGTGGGGGAGGGAAGTTATCACAGCTCTTTCCCTGACCATCGCCTTTTCTTTAGAAGAGAGCTGGAGACTTCAGGTGGTAAAGGAAGGATGGAGAATGCATGCATGGCTGTGGACTTAAACCCCCCCACACACACACCCTGTTTCTAGAAAGCCCTGCCAGGGCTGGAGCAGAGCACCTAAGAATTGAGGGGAGGAAAGACATATCTGGGGGGAAAGTAGAGAGGCATGTAACCCTTTACAGTGAGGAGGATAGGAGCCGGCTGTTGAAGGCCTTGGGATGCAGAACTATCCAGCATTTGTAATGTCCAATCTGGTCCCTGGAAATCCAGTGCCAGACACCAGGAGCATTCTCATCATCCAGCCCTTCTCACTCCTTCCATCTGACTTGAAATCCTGACTTGAGGTGCCTTGAAATTCAAAGAGCAGCTTGTCCTACTGGAAATTCGCTCAGCTCCAGTAAAGGGCCCAATATTTTCAAGAGCCTGGGTGGCCAGAGGGGCCACAAGTGTAGGCTGTGATTCTATTTGACTTTCCAAACAAAGGGCATTGACTGGCTGCCAAAGAGTGCATGGCAGGTAACTATCTTAATTCAAACTGCTGTAAACAGACAAATCTCTTCTTGCTTTCACACAAGGAACTTGGGGAGATGGCAGAGGGTCTGGCAGAGACCTGACTTGAGGAATGGGCTTAAAAAAAAAGCTCAAATGAGGCAAAACCAGAAAAAGAACAAAAGTGGAATATCTGTGTCCCCACAAAACAGATGAACTGAAACAAAAACTCAGGATAGCAGGGAGTTACGAAGGACAGCCAGGATTTGCACTACTGTAGTGTGGTGGCCCTGGACCTAAGTGAGCGGGAGGGAACCAGCAATGGAAAGGCAGGAAGGCATATTAAGGAGACAGAGGTCCTCACCACTGAGGACCCAGGTTAGCCTGACTAGGCCCCACACTTTTCTTCTTAACTTGCCAGTTCCTCAAATCCACACAACAGTGAAGGGATACTTCTTTCCACAACATGGCCAAAAAGATAACTCGGAGCTCCCTGGACACACCCACAGTAGTGGATGTTGGAGAAGATGAGACCATTGGAGGTGATGGGTGCTTGCAGGGGCCTGGTGGAGAGCCAATGCCAGGGCAAGTTGTTTGCAGTAACCCTCTTTGAAAGCCAGAAGAAGAGATGCACTTTCACTGGAACATATGCTGGTGTTTGTTGTGGAGCATCAGTGGCTGGAAATCTTCAAAAGCCTGAGAAGGCGGCACCCGTGTTGTTGGCCTCTGGATATAGGAAAGGAAGGGTTGACTGAGATGAGAGGGATTACCTCTGTCCTCCAGGACTGTGAAAAGGGGTGGGTCTCTCTCTGAAAGACCCCACATCTCTGGACTTTACCTGGCAGAGGCAACCCCTACAGATCCAGCCAAAAGCCACAGGAACATCAGGTAACAGCAGAAAGGAAAATTTCCCCCACATATAGTGAAAACACAGGCACAGGTTTGGGTACATGCCTGTTAACTTCAGGAGCCAGCACTTTGCCCCTGGAAAACTTGTATAACATTTCTTTTCTCCATCTGCTTAGCATCTGATCATTAATAATGCAGTTCCCCAAATGCTCTTCGTTTTGTTACACTGGTATCTGTGGACAGTAACTATGCTGCCTTTGAGGAAGAATTTAACTTCAGGTAAATTTTAGAACAACGTATTTCCAACTTTTTTTTTTAATCCCATCTTTAACCTCCATGTGAAAAAGAAGAGAACAAAACAAACAAGATCCACTCAAAGACACTAGTTAATTGGATATAAGCAATTCTTGCACGAAGGGGAAGCTGTAGCCACGCCTACTTAGCTGTAAGTAAGGCTTTTCCCTATTAAATACCCTTATATTTCTACTTGGCTCTGTATTGGTAATTTCCCACTATACTTGCACATGGAAGAGTCTTCTCTCCTTTAGAAATCAAGACCAGAAAATATCTACTCTTGTAAAAACATGCTTGAAATGGTTAGAAGCAAAAATAAAAATTTAAATTGTGCAATGACAGAATTTCTTTTAAAACCAAGTTATCTCTAAAATCTGAGTCTGAAATCAGTGAAAATCAGTTAAAAGGTGAACTATTAGAGGAACAGTGCAGTTTTTGTTCCCTATTACATAAA